CCCCAAAACCCCAAAACCCCAAAACCCCAAAACCCCTAGAGGATCAGACCAAATTGACAACTTCTTTTCTATAAATCTATTGTAATTCCGACCTCAGAACGGTCCTTGTGGAACTCGATGAAGCTATCAGCCACTCTCAGAGGCAAGGAATCTAAGTGTGGCACTTTGATTGATGGGATTACCAACCAGTTGAGAGAAAATCTCAAGATTGGATTTATCCAGAATGTCAGCCAACTAGCATCGAACGGAATTCCAAAAATAACCAACTTCAATGATTTTAGCCTGAGCTTCTCGATTTGTGGGAAAATAGTCATCATATTTTTATTGTTTCCCTTGCTAATCTGTGGATCAAGCTTAACATCAGCTCCGAATTGGACTCCTCAATGGAGTATCTTAGTTACAATTCTTGGATAAAGCTCTAGGTGAAGATCATCCTCTTCAAAATATATCTTGGTTTGTCCTCTCTTTGGATCTAAAGTAATTTGATACCCGATTCCAAGAGTTCTGCCAGAGTATGAGAATCCTTTAGAGGTTATGGTTTTGGAAAGCGTATTCACGATGTAAGGATTGAATTGTAAAATAACCTCTCCTGTATCTTCTGGGTCATACGAAGGCATTTCTTCTGTATTCTCTGATCTTACGAACTCTTCATTGAATGGATAGATCGTCCCATCTATAGGGACTGCAAAACCATTCTCCTCGATGATAATCTCAGAGGTGGTAGCAGTGGCAATTCCAATGTTTTCATAAAGATCTAAAAATTTGGGATACATGTTCTTGAGAATTTCATTACCCATTGATTGTGACATACGCGGTAATTGATCTCTGATTTCTCCCTTTACTTTAGCAACCAGAACTGATTCTAACAACGCAGTGACTGTAGCCTCAATAGGGGCTGCACATCCTGATCAATGAATCTTGATGTTAAATTTGTTCTCATCCAGCTCCATATTGAAATTGTTGATCCTGAGCTGAGGGATATAAAGACCTTTATCTCCTGTCTTGTCCATCAAGAAATCAAGCCCAAAGGAGGTGAACTCTCCTTTCATGTCCACGCTACCAGTGACATCAACTAGTAGCTTTGAATACTTCCAATTAGCTTGGACCTTGAGCTGAGAATCTCTTAAACTCAAGGATGCCTCTTTCAAAACTGGGGTAAATCCGATATTCATATGTTCAGGCTTATCATTTTCGATCCAAACCTGAATGTTGGTAATTCTTAAGTCTCCATCATGAAAATCAGGTATGGTTTGCCTTCCTATAACTTCAAGGATGCTCTTGAAGTACTTCTCCTTTGCTTTATCGATTATTGGTTTCTTGATCACAGCCACAAATCCTGGGTTTTCGGCGAAAACCCAGGTAATCATACTGATGAGGATTACAATAGAAAGTAATCTTACCATTTATTATAAAAATCAACTGCTTATGAAGAAATAGGGGTTTTGGGGTTTTGGGGTTTTGGGG